GGGGACGAGCCCCGCTCGTCGGTGCTGGGCTCCAGGGGAGGGCGATGCTGGGCTGGGCGTCAGCACCTCACACACCTCATGTCCTCTCTGTCCTTGCCCCCCATCCAGGCTTCAAGCGGTGGCTGTCCTCGCCTGCCCCGGCTCCCCGTGTCTGCGTGGTGGGCAGCGGGCCTGCGGGGTTCTACACAGCTCAGCACATCCTCAAGGTACCAGGGAGGGATTCAGTGGTGGATGAGGGCAGGGTATGGGGTGGGGGGTGTCTCCAGGCTGCTTGGCTTGAAGCGGGTTGGGGGGCTGCTTGGGCAGCCCAGACCTACAGAGTCCTCCTGGGCCCCTTCATCTAGGGTAGGTTCTGCTGTCTCCATCCCTGCCCTGCCCCTGGCCCAGACCCAAGCCAAGGTGCTGTGAGTTCAGCCCCAGTGGTTTCTCTAGAATCAGAGGTCTGCCTTGCTCGGAGCTGTTGTCACCCAACAGGGATGACAATAACCACGTGTTAGTGTGCAGGACCTGCTCTCCTGCTTCCTCCTCTCCTAGCTGAGTGAAGGCACACAGGTGATCCTTTACCTGGCATCTGTGAAGGTTATTAGTGCTTTGGGCAGTCAGGTTGCTGATGGAAGAAGACAACTGTTGGCACCGAGCACAGATGCAGCAGCTTAACCCAGTCATTGAACTGCTGTGTTGTCTCCGGTAGGTGTTGGAAAATAGCTGTTACTAAGCCTCAGGGACAAATTTCAGGGCTGCTTAATCCCTGGGAAGAGTCTGACTCAAAATACAAGATAACAAAAGCCTTGCAGCAGAACATCTGTCTGCAGCTCCGACCTCTGCTGGGGGCTGGCAGACAGCCTGGGGTCCACCAGCACACGTGGTGCTGTGCTGTGCACCCAGTGTGGGGGCTCTTCGTCAGCCCCCCAGGTACGGGATAGCTGCCAGGTGAGTGTGGAAGAGGAGCTGTGAGGTGGGCAGGAGGATGGAGCCCCTCATAAGATGTGCTTGGTGGTGGTTAAGGTCACACTTTACTACACCCTGTGATCTGAGCTGGCAGTACCAGGTACAGCATCATCCTGTGCATGGAAGGGTCTGGAAGAAGCACTTACTGGCTGCAGGATCGTGGTGCAACCTTTCATCCTGCCTTGTATCTTCCCTAGCAGCATGCAAGCACTGCATGTCCCTTTGAAGCTGCTGGGCTTACGTGGCCTTTCTGTCCTCATCCTTTAACTGTGATTTCCTTCTCCTGCAGCACCATGGTGGGGCACAAGTTGACATCTATGAGAAGCTGCCTGTTCCCTTTGGGCTCGTCCGTTTTGGGGTGGCCCCAGATCACCCTGAAGTGAAGGTTGGTGCTGGCTTCCTCCCCTTTGCCCATGTGGTTCAGCATGATGGTGGTGGGTGCAGGCAAGGCAATTAGTATCAGAGATCTCTTATTAGGGGTGATGGACTTGGGCTGTAGGTGTACATCTGGGCAAGCAGAAGTTAAACCAAGGAGCTCTTTGAAATCAGTCATTTTCCTTTGCCTCATAGTAGGCAGAAGTTATACCTGGGGGTATCTGCTGTGTCTGAGCTGCACGGGAGGTGGTCAGAGTGGTAGGACACAGGAGTTCCAGACACAGGAATATCTTGTGATGTTTTCCTCTAATCGCTGGAGATCCTCCGACCAAAATGCCAGGATCCTGTTGAGCTCAGAAAAGAGAAGTGGAGATAAGGGATGTGGGTTTGGGGCAGTGCCTGCAGTGTGGTGGTATCCATCCTGTTACCAGGCTGGATTCAGCCTGAGCTGGAGCTGCAGGGGAAGAAGTTGTTTTGCTCTGTAGCCCTGACTGCTCAGAAGAAAAGGGTTTGGGCACCCTTCTGCCCTGTGTTCCCTCACTGAAGTGGGTTTTGGGAAGGGTTGAGATGAGAGGCTGGTGGAGGAGGTCTGGCCCCCTCAATGGAAAGGGTGGTTTGGTTGGACTCCCTCGCAAACATCATCTTTGGGAAAGAGTTTTCTCCTACAGTGGGGTTTATGCAGAGGTGCCAAAGGCATTGAAGGGGTCCTGCCCTCCTGCAAAAGATGGATTTTCCATTCCACACAGGGCGATGGAAAAAGCGAGCGCCAAGTCCCAGCCTGTGCTTATCTCCCCATGAATTATCTGCGGCTGGTGTTAGATAAGAGCCTCAGAATAACTGCCAGGACGAGGGGGTGACGCATCTCAAGGCTGGGGGGGACAGGAGCTATCAGCAGCAGGCCTTGGCCCCGGCTGGGGCTGGGACATAACTCCCTGGTGCTTGTTTGGTCTGTGCAGAACGTGATCAACGCCTTCACGCAGACGGCGCGCTCGGGGCGCTGCGCCTACTATGGCAACGTCACCGTGGGCAGGGACGTGACGGTGGCAGAGCTGCGGCAGGCGTACCACGCCGTGGTGCTGGTGGGTACCGCTGCCTCTGCGCAAGGGGAAGGTTCGGGGGGGTTATTCCCCACTGGAGTCTTGGGATGAGGGTTTGAGTGAGATGTTTCCGGGTGCTTTATTACCGTGATGAACTGTCCCCGTGCTTGGGACCGTGTGTTAGAACATGGCATCAAACGCAGGTCTTCAAAACCCTGCTGTGAGGGGCATGGCTGAGGAACCTCTTCCCTGTAATGGTCAACACCTATTTCAGCCTGATATGGATTTGTCCCTCCTGTTCAGCCCTCAGCTTGTCATGCTCTGCCTTGACATAAGGAGGTCAAGTTTGGCTCTGGAGCCTGTGGGAATGGGGTGGATGAAGCGCCTGTGCCTCGGCTGTGTTTAGCTCCTCACTGGGTATCCCGGCCCCTAGGAGGGGTCTGCAGCCTTGCAGTGTCCCTCGCAGCAGCTGGAAGCAGAGGTTTGTGGTTTGGTATCAACCCATGCATACAGTAACATCTCTGACCATGTCTGCTCCTTCCTCAGAGTTATGGTGCTGAAGATAACCGGGTCCTGGGGATCCCAGGGGAGAACCTCTCTGGTGTATATTCAGCCCGAACATTTGTGGGCTGGTACAACGGGCTGCCTGAGAACCGGGATGTGAGTACAGCCCTGAGCTTCCCTGCCCTGCTTCCCCATCCTGCATCCAGATGCAGGCATTCAGCTCCACATTAAGTCCTGAAAGGCCTGCAATTGGAAAAGATTAGCAGGCACCGTGTTAAATCCTTCTTAGATGGTAGAAATGTGAACAATTTGCACATCAGTGAGAGCGGATTAGCCGCTTCTGTAGGTTGGCAGCACATTTTGGCTGGGCCAGATGGGAACCTGGGGTGTGATGCTCTGCTTTGACCTGAGGAGGTTTTCTTGGGTGAAAACAGCTCCTTCTCCTAGAGATGCCATCATAGGAAGAAGGAGAGAGGGGTTGGCTGATGGTCGTAGAGTGTCTGTGTCGCTGTGACTGGAGAGGAGGCTGGTGTGGAGTTTCCCCATTTTGGGGGGAAGAGAGGGGTGGAAGGGAATTTGGGTGGTGGGAACAGGTCTGAGGCCATCATGCTCACAGCTGGGTCTCTCTTGGCAGCTGAATCCTGACCTGAGCTGTGAGACAGCGCTGATTCTGGGTCATGGCAATGTGGCGCTGGATGTTGCCCGGATCCTCCTGTCCCCACTGCAGCTCCTCAGGGTGAGTCCCAGGGGTGCTCTGTGCCACAAAGGCAGCCTGGGGCCCACATTCAGTCCCTGCTGGATGGGTGCTGGTTCCCACCCATCTCAGCAAAACCTCAGACTTTCCTGTCTTTGGGATCTTTCCTCAGGGAAGACTGTTGCTTCTTGTGTGAACCTATGGATTCACAGCCCATAGGAGTGATCCAAGGTTCCAGCCTTGAGTAGCACTGGAGTTCTCCAGATTGCTCTGCTGGTATCTCAAAAGTTGGCATTTGAGCTTCATCCCTTATAAGAAGCAAAGGAGGAGCTGCTTGCCCTATTCCACCACCAGGCTAGAAGCTTCTCCATGTTGGGATGAGTCTTTTTCTGCTGTAGCTGAGGGCAGCAGCCTGGTTTCTACTGGTAGCAAGCTGGTGCACCTCTCGTTCTGCTGCCATGCTCCCTTATAGCTGGGAGCTGGTGTGAACCAGCTGCTCCATACAGCTGCTGCCCCAGATGTTGGCAGCAAAGGCTCTTCCTCCTGGAGAAATGTCACAAAGTTTTACATTCGTGCAACAACTTCCTGTATTAATATAATTTAATAAATGAAAACTAAATTAAAAAGACCCAGCAACAACTTGGAGGCACTTCCAACCAGTGGCTAAGTCCAGCTGGGAAGCAGTGCTGGGAAGGACTTGGCACTGGAAATAAGTGCCAGGGGGTGCAGGCAGTTTGCTGTTAGGAATATTGGTCTGGAATGGTTTCTCCTGGTTTCCTGGTGTCCCTCCCATTGTGTCTTCTCCGGCAAAGATCTTCCTGTGATCTAGATACATGCACACAGTTGAAACAGAGCTGCAAGATGCCAACCACTGAGCCCTGGCAATGCCTCTGTGTGTGCTCAGAGCTGGCGCTGACCTGAGCTGTGGTTTGCAGTGGGTTTCACCCACATGCCTGTATATCCTGAGCTGGGAAGTCACCCAGCAGCATCTCCAGGCATCCCGCAGTGGAGCTCACTGAAAGGCTTCACTCCATTAGCCCCAAGGTTAACCTGCTTGGGTGGATCCCCCGAGGCAATCTCGCAGGGTGCCAGCTCGTTGCCTCTAGTGCATTATGGCCTCGGAAAGCACATTCAGTGATGAGGGACCAGCTGTGCAAATAGCTCTGTGCAATGGGAGATGAGTTGTTTTCCGCCCTTGCCCAGGCTCTCTGCATGCACAGCCTGCTTTTCTGCTGATTTTTCACCTTCAGAGGCTGTGCCTTCCCCCCCAGCTCCCTCCAGATCTGCCCTCATCCCACTCTCCTGTCTCTGTTCTGCAGAAGACAGACATCACTGATGGCTCCTTGGCAGCTCTTGCCTGCAGCAAGGTGAAGCGTGTCTGGCTGGTTGGGAGGAGGGGACCTCTCCAAGTTGCTTTCACTATCAAGGTAAGGCTGGGGTGCTGGAGGGCAGCTGTGCTTCCAGCACTGAGCCCCAGGCTGCCCATCCCTGGTGGGAGAGGTGGGCTAGGGATGGCTGAGGATCACAGGCGTCCTTCCTGCGCCTATTTGCTCCCATTCTTGACTGCTGGGGAAGGGGCCCTGGGGCTGTTGGGTGACCTGGAGGTAACACCTTCCTGCCTGCAATCCCCAGGAGCTGCGGGAGATGATAAACCTGCCTGGTGCCAGCCCTGTGCTGAACCCTGCTGACTTCACAGGCCTCAAGGATGCTGTTAAAGGTGAGGGAAGTGTGCTGTGGTCCTCCAGACAGTGACTCGCCTTGACAGGTGAAATCCAGGAGCAATTTGGAGATGCTCAGAACGTGCATCAGAGAAACTCTTGCCTTGTGCTTAATGCATGGTGGTGTGGGTCATCCTCAGAGTGCTAGCTGGCCACAAAGACAAGGGGACAGCCTGTTTCTCTGTGCAGCCACTTTGCTGCTTGGGAGTTACGCTTACACTCTGAGTAATGAGGACAAGAGGTTCAGGAGGGCTGGGGGAACCTTTCAAGTTCCCATGACTGTTGATTTAAGAGCTTCCTGCAGAGCTAAAAGGAAAACACTGAGTTCAAGGGTGTCCAGAGACTTGCTCTTCTCCACAGGCTGCTGCCTCTGAGCACCAGCAAGACAGGAGAATCACAGGCTTTGATTCATGTGTTGGAACTAGATGATCTTAAGGTCCTTTTCAACCCTAACTGTTCTATGAGTCTATGATGTCCCACTGGCCTCAAGCCTCAGGAGCTCTCCTGCTCACTCTGACTTGCAGTTTGTCATCTCAAAGGTGTCGGATGCCCATCAGCATGACAAACTCCAAATAGGCACTCACATACCACTGACACTGGCTCTGTGCTGTGTCCCAAAGGCCTTTTGCTGTGGTTCCTGTCCTGAAGCTCTCTCTCTGCTGCTAGATGCCGCCAGGCCCAGGAAGCGCCTGACTGAACTGATGATCAAAACAGCCCTGGAGAAGCCTCCGGAGAAGCCATTGGAGACGGTGCCCCCCCGGGAATGGGGGCTGAAGTTCCAGCGCAGCCCCCAGGAGGTGCTGCCCACGGCTGATGGGACACGGGCGAGGGGTGTCCGCATGGCCCTGACCCGCCTGGAGGTACGGGCTTGGTATGGCCTCAGCAGGACACTGCTGCATCCCTCCAGCCTTTGGGAATCATTCCAAGGACAGCGTTGTCTTCCCTGGCTGGTTGGATTGGCTCTCGGGGAAGCTGGTACCACCAAGAGCCTTTCCCTCTCTAAAGGGAGCTCTTTTCATGCTGCTGCTGCAGAAAGCCCTTTGGGGAAAGGCCTTTGGGATCAGGGATGCCAAAGGGGACTGGAGGAGGCTGTTCTGTATCTGGTGACTGGGGGTCAGCAGTCCCTTTCTTCCTCTCTCAGGGCTCGGGTGACTCTGCCAAAGCCATCCCCACTGGAGACACGGAGGAGCTGGAGTGTGGGCTAGTGATCAGCAGCATTGGCTAAAGGACCCAGCAGTGCCCTTCGACACCCAGCGTGGCATTATTCCCAACAGCTCAGGCAGAGTGGAGGGCGTCCCAGGTCTGTATCCACAGGGATATGGGTGGGACATGTCAAGTGCAGATGGCGGGGTGGGAAGCTCCATTCCCAAGGGCATGGACATAAGGCAATTGCATGTCTCAGTGGGAGAGTGGAAACGAGGAAACAAGCTGCCCCTGTCAGTGTTAAGACCTGACTTGTCCCCAGCTTGTGTTTGAGGGGTCTGTTCTTGTACAGGGTGATTTTACTGGGCTTTGGAGTCTTACTAAAGCAATACAGCCCATACAGCTGCTGAATGTATCTGCAGGTACACAAACTCCTGCGACAGCACTGTCAAAGGGCTGCACTCTTCCCACCACAAGGGTGGATTCTTCCACCACCTGCAGCTTGATGTGATGCCCAGGGACAGGACTTGCATCCAGGAGGGTCCATAGCCACACACTGAACCAAGCCTGGCTACTCTATGTGTCCATGCAGGTCTGTACTGCAGCGGGTGGGTGAAGAGAGGACCCACGGGTGTGATCATCACCACCATGAACGACAGCTTTGACACTGCCCAGTCTCTGCTGGAGGACGTGCAGGGGGGTGTGCTGGATGTGTCCACCTCCAGAGAAGGCTTTGGGGCTATGGAGAGCATCCTGCGCAGCCGAGGTCAGTGTGAGGGGCTGTGAGCCACTGTAGCAGCCAGCCTGAAGGTGTTATACAGCCCAATTCCCTCTGGATGTGGGTATCCTGGAGTCCTGCGAGCTGCTTCTGGGAGCAGAGTCTGAACCATGGAAATGTGCTGCTGTTTCATTGCTCCAAAGTGCAGGGAGAGGGGGATTTGAATTCCATCAAACTCGGTGTCACTGATAAGGTTAATGACCACTTTGTGGGAAGGGCCATTAAAAGCAGCATGGACCTTGGGTAAAATGCCACTGTTAGCTGCCTAGACAGCGAGCTATTGCTCTTGAGTCCTTTTCCTAGTAACCCTTCTAAGCAAGTTGAGGGAAAGATTAAAATGCCCAAGAGAGTAATTTGCTGTTGCTGTGTTTAAAGGCATTCAATTAAAGCGTGCGTGTGTGTCTTGCTTCTTAACTGTCTGAGGCTTAACAGTGAACTGGAAGTGTTTTGTCCCCTGAGGTGGTGCTGTGCTTGCAGTTGTTAACAGCTTGCAAAGGTCTGACTGATCCAAGTTGACTGGAACCTGCCATCCCTCTCCTTGTGGTGTTAGAAATCATTACTCCTTTGTGAGGCTGAAGTCTGGCGCCGTGTCAGGGAAGGGCAGGCTTCCCTGGCACATCAGGTCCCTGCTAATGGGAAGGTGAGGCTGAACTCATTTTTACTTGGTTAAGTTCCCTCTCCCATCTCTTGCCATCATCACAGGGGTCCGTCCTGTTTCCTTCTTGGACTGGGAGAAGATAGATGCTGCTGAAGTGGCAAGAGGCAAAGCTGCTGGCAAACCCCGAGAGAAGATCGTGGATCCTCAGGAGATGCTGCGGCTCATCGGTCACTAAAGCACCAGTGATGGGAATGTGGTGCTGGTCCAGCTGGTGCTGTCCTGGGGCAAGGCCAGTGGGTTAGAGCATGGCCCTGGAGCACAGGGCTTGTGCCTGCTGCTCTGGAGAGGTGTGTGACACTTGAGCTTCTCTGGTAATAATGAACTCTGGGCTCCTGAAGTGACTGTCTCAAAGCATCCGAGGCTGCTGGCTGGCCCTGCACCTCTGCGTAATTGTTATTTGTGTCCTTCAAGCATTAAGGAATTGGCTGGTGCAGGTGAGGGGAGCTGTGTCCCTGGCAGGAGGCCTGGCCAGACGTTTTCCCCATGGCAAGTCGACAGAGAAACCTCCTCGTGTCTCACTGCCTCCCCTTTAAGCCTCAAGCCAAATGGCTTCATTGCCTTGTCACTCGTGCCTGAGCAGGCTGCTTTGAGTAATAGTTGTTTTTTAAATAAACCCTTCCAGGAAAGCCAAATTGGAGCTGCCACTTGAGTCTGGCTTCTTTGTCTGTGGCTCCTTCCTCTCGGAGCAGCCAAGCGCCGCGTCTCCTGCTCCGTGTCTCAAGGCAAGGCAGCTCCTCTCGTGCAGGGAGGGAATGTTTGCTCTCTGCTTGTGAGCTCTAAACAGACAAGAGCATTAATTTGCTTTCTGCCTCCTGCAGTCAAGCCCCGGCAGAGCCTGGGTTCTGGATCATGGGGTGGATTGGGATAACAAGCGTGTAATTGCCTTGTTCCGGATCATGAGGGGTCCTGTGTTCGTTGGTACCTGCCGGCACTGGCTGATGCAAGCCCTGCCTTGAGCTTTCACTTCATTTCCTGGTGTGGTTCTGGTTTTTGGCCTGTGTGGTTTTGAAGCTTATTAAATGCTTCTCTCAACCCGAATTGACTGCGGTGACGGTGTCAGGTTTTAAGCCAGATTACAAACTGTGAGCCGTAATCTCCTCTTTATCTGTGGCGCAGGGGCTGTGTCAGCGTGGCCTCCTCCTCTGGCCACCCTCAGCATCCTGCACTCCCCATGGGAGCACTGGGGGGTTGCAGCCACTCCTCTCTGCCCTGTGTAAATGGTTGTTAGTGGTGGCTCTGTGATGGAGGCCGAGGGGAAGTCAAGCTGGTGGGGCTTGTCTCAGGTCCACGCTCAACCTCCATCTCTAAGCCCTCTCCTATGGTTGAGGGCTTGTCAGCTGGGCGCTGTGTTCCCAGCCTATCTCTGGTGAACCTTAGGGAAGGTCCCTTCTCTCATCTTTCCCTTTTTCCCTCTTTCCTTTTCTATTCCAGTCTCATTTGCAAGCTCATTAAGGAACTCAGGAAATGTGATCCTGGGAACTCGTACGCAAACGAGCAATAAAGCTTTTGTGGAACAGCTGCTTGTGTGATGGGGCTCTCAATACATCCCGGGGCTGATGCAGCCTTAATGCTGAACTCTTGAGCATTAGGGAGATTACATCAGCTCTGGGTTCAGAGGTGAATAAGCTCTTTGGGAAGGGGGCTGAAGTGGTTGCTCTCAGGGCAGGGAGCAGCTCTTTTGGTAGATGGCCCAGAAATGTGATGGTGAAGAGGTGGTTGTGGCTGCATCAAATCTGCAAGTATTGGGAAGACATAAACCAGCTCTTCTCCAGGGTTTTCTTCCACATCACCTTGAATGTTGATGTCAGGTGCGTTCGTAGCCATCATACAATCATGGTGCTTGTGCTGCATGTGGCAAATGGCTGTTCCCAACCTGGTGATGCTTTGGCGTAGTTTTGGGACTGTGATGACAGGTTAAGGGGAGTGTCTGTCTTTGCTGAGCCCAGTGTCCTTGCTCAGTGCAGAACCTAGCCAAGACCCTGGGGTTTATGCTGGGCTGTGGGGAAGCCATGAGATGATCAAGGTCAGTGAAGGGCAGGGATGGAGGACTGCGGTTATGCGGGTCTTCATTCAGTACCTCCAGCTCCCCCTTCCTCTGCTGTCTGCATCCCCAGGCCCCAGCCAGCTGTCCCCATCACCATGGATGCTCTCCATCCTTTTCTCCGGGGACTGGGATGCACCTGGGTTCCTGAGGAAGGGCCTTATCCCGGACACTGTGTCGTTAGGTGGCGCTGGGAGGCTGGTGATGGGGAGCAAAGGGGCTGAGTGGGGATGGAGAGGTGAGCTGGCACTGAGCAACTGAGGGGGTTCTCCTGGGACCTGTTCACATTCAGGTTCTGCTTTTAGGTGTGATTAACCTTGTGTTTGCTACAGGTTATGTCCCCACCGTGGTGGTCCAAGAGGTGAGGGGGCAGCCACCCCTGTGCCCTCTGCTTCCCAAGCAGCCGAAGGGGCATCTCCAAAGCCATTTCCCACCCCAGGAAGGCGATGCTCTGAGTGACACCCGCCTGCTGTTGGAAGGAGGCCTGAAAAGCTGAAAGTCATCACCACCAGTTCCTAATGTGGACTTCCCTGCTCCAATGAGTAATGGCTCAGCTTAGCTTTAATGAGACTGCACAAAGCTGGTGGAGATCAGCATCTGGTGAGGGTTGGCCTCAAGACCAGCCAAGCAAGGCTGAGCTGTTCCTTCTGCTCTGAAAGGCAGCTGGGGTGGGTACAGAGCAGAGAGCTCGCCATGGTGCAGGGCGGTTGCAGGGTAAGTGCTGTTCAGCTGGGTCTTTGCAACCTCCTGCTTTGCGCTGCTGTGCCTCAGTTTCCCCGGTCTGCAGAGCTGCGCAGGGTAACTCCTCTGTTACCCTGGGGCTCTGCCTTGCTCCTGCCGGGCAGCTTGGGGTAACCCAGGGAAGAGCACATCTGAGACACCCCAGAAGCTCCTGCTGATGCTGTGTTTGTTACATGCAGGAGACAAGCATGGAGGCTCTCGCTGGCTTTGCTAATGGGCTGCTCGATGAACTTGGCCTTTTCAAGTGACCATTTAGAGCCGGTGAAGCGGGAGGTTACTTGTGCTCTGGAATAAGGAAAACCCAGCTCCAGGCAGGAATCTGGCCCAGCAGTGAAGAGGTGTTTAAAAGCCATTTATGCAAGCAGGAAAATGGTTGGAAAAGCTTTTCCATGGCATGGTTAACACATGGTTCCCCAGCCCCATCCCGAGCGGCCGCAGAGGCGGTGTCCGGCTTTACGCCGGCCCCTCACTGCATGATCCATGGAATTGCGGCATCGGAAGCCCAGGTCAGTCCGTGTGTGCCGGGTCTTCGCTTGGGAACAGATGGCTCTGGGGAGTGCTGACCTCAGCGCTTTGGCTGAGCACAAGCGCTGGCCCCTCCTGGGCTCATCTTGTGCCTTGTGTGCTCTTCTCTCCAGGTTCATCCCCATCCCTGGGGATGGGATGTGAACAGGTTGGGTACCAAGTTCTGGGTCAATGGAGCGGGTTACCAGCCCCACTGCGTCCAGCACCATCCCTCCTGGCATGACATCGCCCCTTCTCTGAAAGCACTCCACGCACATCCCTGGCTCCAGACCCACCAGAGGCTCATGGTTTCCAATCCCAGCCTTATTGATCCAACCTCTTCAGGCTTCCTGAAGTCTTGCCTATGGTCAGAGGGCTGTGCAGGGCTGGAGGTTTCCCCTGTTTTAATCACTTTGGAAAGTCATTACTTTTGGAGCTGCATGAACCCGTTCCCCAGGCCAGGAGGGGAGCAGAGGGGAAGGAGATGTGAACTCCCAGCAGCTGCTTCGAGGAGCTATTTAGGGATGTGACAGCGGCAAATAAAGTTGTTGGAGGGTGAGGGCTGGTTACGCCCCAGAAAGAAGTTATTTCCTCCCTTCCTGGGAAATTTCCATTTCCAACCTGCTGGCTTTGGCTGCCTGATCCCCAATCTCCAGGGCACGCACCACCCCAGGAGGAGGAATTATCCCTGCAGGGATGAAAACATCCCTGTTTATTTTAGCTGCCTTAATTACTGTGAGGGTAGGACATGGTGGCAGCGGAGCGGAGCTGTGCCGCATCCGAGCTGTGTGTGCATCACTCACAGCACTATCCCTGTGGCCTCTCTCCCAACTTTCTCCTTACTCTGTTTTCAGCTTTGGTTGCTTTTGTGGCTGCTGGGATCCAAGCTACCAGCTGGCTCTGCGTGCTTATTTAAGCACCTGAATACCCCTATGGGATGGAGTAGAGAGGGGAGGTGGGGATGGTGCCTGAGGATGGCCCCAGGAGTTGAAGATGATCTACACCCTTGTTTGCTTCTGAAGTGAGCTCCAGAGGGCCAGGGCAAGGTGAGCGCCCAGAGTAGGGGTGGCTGTGCTCAGACCTCGATTTTGGGGCAAACATATAGGGAAGGGGGGTGGCAGCTGACAGGCAGGGCTGGGATGGTGCAGGTCAGGGTGAGTGCAGGTCTGGGATTGAAGCAGGTCCAAGGCTAAATCTCTGGTGTCAGAAGTGTCACCTGCAAGACTCAGCCCTGGCAGAAAGACCTGTGTGCTGTGTTCACCCTGTCTGATGCCATTAGCGGGGTGCAGGTGCCCACAGGGACCCTGCCCTTCCAGGGACTGCTCTGGCTTTGTGCTGGCAGTGCACAGACCGGGGTCCTCTCCTTCCCAAAGTCCCGGTTTAGGATGCACTCAGGTTAAAAACCTTTGGCTGAGTTTCTCCTACAAATAGGAGGCTGATGGTAGGGGCTTGCACTGCAGAACTGGAGATATTAAAGACACTGGCTGGAGCTGTGCGATGCTGTCTTGGCTGTGGGTGCCCCTTGGGGGTGAATGCTTTGGGTAGGGGCATGGATGCAGTCTTGTGCTCAGTTGATGGCTCCCGTTGACTCTGCTGGGCTGGGATACCAGGATGGAGGGGCTGGGGCAGGGTGCACTATGTTGGGCTTTACTTTAGCTTGGGATGTGGAATGACTATGTGGGGTTGCAATGGGATGCAAGGAGGATGTGTGGAGTGGGCTCTTCCCTGCAGGAGGTGGTTGCACGCCAGGAGCTGTTGGAACATGGTGCTTCACATTCATCAACCTGCTTTCAGAGCCTCCTGCAAGAAAAGATACCAAGGAAAGGATGGAGAAGCTGAGGTGAGCTCCTACTTGTTGGTGCTGTGCCATGGGTGAGGGACCCACTGGG